TCACATCTCTCTCCATTAGATAGGATTTTATTGGACCAAGCACCTATTTGTTGAGGAGATTTAAAAATTAGCGTTTATACTTATATGTAACAAAATTTTAAATTTGAAAAAAATAGGCCATATACTTTGCAATTGCAATCACTCTTTCTTATTTTCTAAACCTGCCGAACACTAATTCTTTTTTTTTTTTTTTTATTCTCCTCCCTTAGTCATTGAGATACATTAAACATAAAGCTTTACAAGCAGAATAAATACGTGAATTATTAATCAATAACACACTTCTTTAGTAGTTGAGATTTTTTATGTTCTATTTATAGGTCAAAATTTTGAAATCATCGAATATATAGATGTATTATAAACTAATAATGACCTATCTATAATACTTGATTCAATAAAATCAATGACTTAATTCACTAGTGTGTTAATGAGATTGCGATGATTAAGTTATACTAAGTCTCAACAAGTTTATTACTTTTATAAGTAAAAAAAAAAAAAAAAAATTATTTAGCTAAATCCTTTTAGTTGGGATATATATAACATATTAAAAAAATCTAATCTAATATTTTTTATTAAAAAAATAGATGGATAATTAGGAAACAAAAAATTTATGCAGGAGATTATTTTGATATTTAAAAATAATATAGAAGTATTTAATTTTGAATATTTTGATGCATATTTAATAATATATTACTATATATATACATGTTAAATTTTATTGATAAATTTTAGATTTTTAACTAAATCATATATTATTTTAAGATATTTAGTAAAACCTATAAAAGCTCATCTAGCTTAATTTAATTGGAATTTTTGAATAGATAATTTAATTCAATTGAAACTTTATTAACTATTAATATTACCTACAAATAGATTAACTATTATTATTATTTAATGATACTAAAGATATTTTATTTTCTATACAGTCAATATTTACTAGAAAGATAATTTTGTCTTATCTTTACCACTTAAAATATCTTTATCGCAGAATTAACTAGTTTCCTTAAGGGCCATAACATTTGCAAAAATGACATTTGTAATTTTAGATACTAGTTTATACCCACATGATATATCTTAGATTAGCTTCTCTGATATGCACATTATCTATCTTAGATTATCTTTACCCCTTAATTAGCTAGCTTTATATATATATATATATATATATATATGTAGAAAAAATTATTTAAACTAGATAAAAGAATCTAAAAATGGTCTATAGCACCTTCTAAGTGAATCCTCATCAATAAAGAGTTGAATTCTCGTAGGAACATTTGTAAGTAATTTGGAAAAGTGAATAACTTTTATCATTATGGTAAGGGTCACGAGGAAAATTTACTACCTATATTCGTTTGCATTCATGTAGTAACATTTGTGCATTATATTATAAGGTCTTATTTAAAAGCAAGCCACTTAGGCATGTGAAAGGTTATACATCTCGGTCCTTATAAGATGATAACATGTACATATACATGAATGAAATGAAAATAATGGCAGTGTAGATCACCTTAATTATCACTTCATTTTAGATAAATGGGAATGGCTGTTAACATGACCAAATATAATATCGAACTTGTATTTATAAAACTCAATTTTTTTTTGTTTAATTGGAACTAACTTATTGAATAAAAGCTCATCCATTCAAGGGGTCTAATCTACCTATAAAGATGGAACTTAATTAACAACAAAATACTATTGGTCAAATCATCACTAGATCTTCACTATGCTTCATGCAATATGTACTAAAAAAAGTAGTAAAATAGAATTACATATGATCACAAGTGCTCTATCAACTATTAATCCCTTATTAATGAAGAGCTTAAAACACTAATCATTAGTTCCATTTACCTTTAAATCCAAAATTAGTGTTTTCTATATGCCAAGTTTAGTGGATCAAGGCAAGACGATTAATTAAAAAAGGGGAAAATACATAGAAATACATTTTTTTCTCAAACTAAGGTGCATGGATCCATGTATTCGAAAATAATTTATTACTCAACTATAATAAATCTATGTTGGTTGAATCATATAAACATAGTTTTTTTTTTCACTAGGAAAAAAATATCTAATTGATTTTTCTTAGCCCTTAGGAATACATAGATCATTTAACTTGAAAAGGTTAAGAGGTTAATAGAGAATGACCTAGAAATGAAGTAGATATGGTTTCACTTTACATAAAAATTTTATCAAATAATGTATTATAAAATGCTTTATTGATATGGGATGATTCTATGTATGAGGGAAGTTTAAACTATGATTTGAAGGGCAGAGTAGAGATTGTTGTCAAATAGTAATAGTTGAGAAACATGAGAAACAAGATGAAATTTAAGGTAGAAGAAGGGTCCAAACATGTAAAACTAGTTGGAAATGAAGGTGGTATGATGAATGTCACTAGGTGATTATCAAAATTTCTCAATCAAAAGAGTTGCATGAGAATATATTGTAAGTAAGTACCAATGAAAATAAAACAATGGAAGGAACCATTATAAGACTTTATGAAGTCATCAACTAAAAGCTAGTTTAAAAATTCATTTAAATCCACACTTTGTTTATGAAAATGCATCTGTTCTCCTAAAATTTTAAGTTATGCAACAACCATGTTGTCTTATCGAGGATGCTTGGGTACAAGTTAGATATCACCTTTATAAATCATTATTACTTAAGCTTAAATAGAGTTTAATGAAATGAGCAATTCAAGCAGTGGTGAATTAACTAATATCTCTTTTTGCTTCTTTTTTTTCATAGTTGATACACATCTTTTAGAACAAGAATAGTTGTTAATAAGAGAGATATGTCAAGACTCAAATCAAAGAGGTAAAGGAGTAAGAAGTAAACATCTTATATCAACTAATGAGTAATTAGTATTATGATTCACCAAAAAATAAATATTGATTAGTTATAAAAGCTAAAAGGTAGTTGCCTCAATTTTTATTTTTTATTTACATGTCAATTTTCGTTATTTTGTAATGTATTGTTCTCAGTCATTATGGAAGAATATATTAGAAGAATTAGAATTTTAATATGAGGGTAAAACTAGTATTTAAGAAAATTTGAGTAAACAGCTACTCTATTTTTTCTTTACTTTTTGTTTTCTAAATTTCTAAGTTATTTAATTCTTTTACTTTGCCTCATGTCTTCTTGTTCCATCCTTAGTATTCATGCTTAAAGTACATGACACATGCTCTTTTGTCCCCTTTTAAGCTAAGCTTCTCTTTTTTTGTTCCCTTCAATTTCAACTTGACAACATGGCATCTCTTTCCTTTTTGTGAAAAAAAAAACTTGTTTGCTTTACTCTTTTTTACTTATCTCAATATTTGGCTCCCAATCTCTCCTTTAGAAGACAACTTTACGTGCTAGATCTCTCGACTCGTCACTTTTTTCACTTGATCATCAATAATCAATCATCATTCTCGTTAATTAACTATAACCATTGATTGGTGTTATGCAATTGAAGCGTACTTCTCTATTCTTACTACATGAAAGCACTAATTTCATCAATTATGAGAGTTGAAAAAGATCAATAGAAATCTCCAAAATAATATTGCTTGGAAGGCTAGTTTGAATCATTCATCTGAGTCAAGGTTGGATTAAATTCAGGTTATGTTCTGATGTATTGAGTTTTGAGTTTAATTATATTTTGATTGAACTAAAAAGACGGGTTGAATTCTAATTTTTAAATTGATTTTAGACAAAATATAAAATAATTTAAGAAAATGATGGAGTTTTTTGGGTCATAAAATGGGTTATGAGTAATTTTCCAATTAATTTTATTTTCATTCTTAAATCTTATTTAAAATGAAAGAGACAACTAGCTAAAAAAATGAATTTAGTGCATCTCTTTTTACCAACTGAATTAAGTTCAATTAGAACCATCTATATTGAGATGTAGTAGAATATGTTTTTAATAATCCATAGAATATATATGCATATATATATATATATAAGTTTCCTTACGCAAATAAAGAAAAAGTTCACTTTTAATTTTATTGCAGTTTCAAGGAGGTGAATCCACGTTTCTAGTCATGCTTTGATTGGTGGGACACGAGGAAAAAGTCGCAGCGGTCCACATAATAATCTCTCTGCCGTGCATATATATATATATATATATATATAATTAAGATGAAAAAAAATCAAAGCCTTACGAATTTGGTAATTATAGATAGGCGTTATTGCATGGACTACTTCTAAAACATAATTGGCGTCTTATCATCATAAGAGTCAAGAGGCTTGACTTGACCCAAACAACCCTAGCACGACTGTTATTTCACAATATTATTATTTGAGAAGGTTCTCTAGATTTCTTCAATATATGTATATATATCGGCTGTTAAAGACACCTAAAGAGAAGATCGAGGATGATGAACAGCAAAGATAATAGTTCCAAGGAGGAAGAAGAAGGTCCACTTCCAGGATTTCGATTTCACCCCACAGACGATGAACTTGTTGGGTTTTATCTTCGCCGGAAAGTTGACAAGAAACCAATCAGGATCGAACTCATTAAGCAGATCGACATCTACAAATATGATCCATGGGATCTTCCAAGTATGTGTACATATATATTCTCTATCTTTATATATGATCATACATATATATATATATTTATACATAATCCCCCTTGAATTCATATATACATCTATATGCTAGGTTTTAGGGGCATGGATTCGACATTAGCTCACAACTTCTAGTCGATTTATAATTTAAAATCGTCATCTGCTTTAGTTTCTGGCAAGTTTATTTATAATCGTCTATCTAGATATTTATTATTATCGGCTTTTTAGTTTCCTGAAAGCTTATAGTCAACTCTATCAACCTACAAATGATCTGCTTCAATCCCTTACATATATCTAAATATATAGTCTCTCTCATCTACATATGATCCATAAAATTTATTTCTTGAATTTATGTGTATAGCTGTCTGCTAAGTGTTAGTGCATAAATTCCGAAGTAACTCTCCGCTTCTAGTCTATTTACATTTCTGAATGTCTGCTTTATATAATTTCATGAAACTTTATAAGCAATTATATGTTTATGTATGAGTTGGAAGCTACAAGACTGTATTTATCAGCAAATTAGATAATTGATTATTAGTTAATTTCAACCTTGTCTCACATGAAATAAATTAGAATATTAATAAAGTATGATAATTAGTCTGGCTAGGAGTGAGAAAATATGTGTTTGAATGAATCATCATTTTCAGTTTTGCAGTAAAAGTTGATATATCTGTGTATATATATACATATGTATTGCAGAAGGTAGCAGTGTTGGAGATAATGAGAGCTACTTCTTTTGCAAAAGAGGAAGAAAGTACAGGAACAGCATAAGACCAAATAGAGTGACAGGATCTGGATTTTGGAAAGCAACCGGCATTGACAAGCCGGTGTATTCCAATGGAGGAGAAGGTCATCAGTGCATTGGACTCAAGAAAACTTTAGTTTATTATCGCGGAAGTGCAGGTAAAGGCACCAAAACTGATTGGATGATGCACGAATTTCGTCTCCCGACCAATGTTGATGCCAGTGCTAGTTCAAGTACTAGAACTTCTCTCCAAGAGGCCGTAAGTTACCTTTAATTTTTATTTTCTAAATCAATATTCGTACTTATAGTAATTTATTAAATGGTGCATGTATGAAATTGCAGGAAGTTTGGACTCTATGTCGAATATTCAAGAGAAATGTAGCAAACAGAAAGTACACTCCGGATTGGAGAGAATTAGCAACGAAACGAACACACCATCCCGTCGATACTAATCATGTAAGCATTAAGCCATACACTTCCCAGTGTAATAACAATAGAGAGGCTTTCATCAATTTTAGTGCTCCAATTACCCATCACCAATATCATCATTACTTTATCAATGATGATCAAAAACCTATCATTAACCATATGATGATCACCCATGCCAACCCCTTGCATGCACACCAGATAATCACCCCCCTTCCTCAACAATCTCCATCAGTAATCCCCTCCTGTTCAAACACTTCAAATCAGGATGATAGCAGCAATGATGATCAGTTGCTTTCCTATGGAAATTGGGATGAGCTCAGACCAGTTGTAGAGTTTGCTCTCGATCATCATCCCTCCCTTGTGTAGATACACACGATACTCTACTTGTACAACTTTATATATATATATATAGCTTGACTCACCTCCAGCTTATTAGTTAATTTAATCTTGTAACATTTGGTCTTTTTTGAGTTTTGTTAGATAAACTTGTTTAAGCTATTACCATTTAGAAAAACCGTTATAGTTACTGATATAGATGTATCTATATGTATGAGACTTAGATGATCATATTCGATTTATTCCTATGATTTTATTTCCATGTTTTTCTTATTGGAATTAATAATTATTATCATTGTTATATGTCCCCATGTTTTCCATGTATTTTCTAACTCTTTTCTTGTATTAAGTTATGGAATCTTTCTTAGGCAACTTCAGAAGCTAATTATTTTATATTAAGACTAGCACTTTCACAAAGTTTTACTTGCATGTTGATTTTTTTTATATCCTATGTAATTAAAACAAATTTAAGTGGAATAAAAGTAATTTATGTGAGTTAACATTATGTATATTTTTTAGAAAAATAAACTTATCAATTGTGCATTTGTAATATTCATAGTTATTATATTTTATAATTTTTTTACATGACCAGAAACTTAGAAGACCACAAATTTTTTTACATGACCTCCTCTTCGTTTCACACTCTTCTCTTTATCTTCTAAATTTGCCTCAGTACTAAGTTTTTAAATGGTTTCTACTCTTCTGTGTATTGAGAGATAATTGAGATCTAATTTTAATTAATTTCTAGTGTAATTCAATTATTTTTGTCTGGTTAGAATTTTATTTTACAAATGAATTACTATTTAAATTAAGAATGAATTTTTCCTATTTATTTTAATTATATTATCTTGGTATGTGTATATATTATATATAAATACAGCTGCAAACACAAAACATGAACTTTCTTGTTTCTCTAGTGCTTCAATTATCAGGTCAGATACTCTTTCTGTTCTTCATTTAGTGTCTTATGAAACTGATCATGAAATTTCTTAATTTATTCAATGTTGTTGGTTAGTTCTTTAATAATCTAAAATAGACATGGTTTAGTAGTTCCTTATCAGGAAACCAGAAAGTCTTAGAATCTCCTAGTGACTTCTTATTTTGTTAATTAATTGTTCAATCTCAAGTAAAGAATAATTCTTTCTTCTTTTCTCTTTTTAGAAACTTTGATAGATGAAAAATGATTATGATAAAGTAATGAATATAGTTTACAGAAAATTCTTGTTTCCATTTGAAAAAATTGTGGATCTATAACGTTATAATGTAAGAGAATTATGACAAACAATTTTCTCAGTAAAAACTTTGGGAATTTACTTCTTTAAAACAATCATGTTATTCTTTATTATTATTTAGTGCATTGCATGTGTCTTTATGTGTATATTGTACATTACATCATTAACTCTCTTACTATCATTAGGAAAACCAATGATATGATATGCTAAAGTACTTAACATGAAGTTTTATGATCAAAATCTTTATATAATTCATAATTATTATATTGAAGCTATAAACCGTGTACAAACATGATAAAAATTATCAGTAAATACCATAAAATACTTGGGGCATATTACCGGTTGAGACAAAAAAAAATGACTAAGAAAAAAAAAGTTTATCTTACTTGACATGATTTATTATAAATTCTAAATATTAAAGTTAGATAAACTTATTATGAAAAATATAAGATTAATAACACTTTTGTTCTATCTGAATCTCGGAAAACTCTCTTCATAAAGTATTAAGATTAATCATTTATGTGTAGTAGAGATTCTAATAATGATTTCTAAAAAATAAAAAATAAATGATGGAAAAAACAAATACAATGAAAAAAAATTAAAGAAAAGAAAAAAAAAATGAATGATGACCATACATAATTCGGAGCATTTGACATTTACTTTCAATTCATCAAAGGAATAAACATTTAAAACCATCTGCATAGATATGATATATGAGGGTAAAACATAAAGTTATGCACTCATTATATTAAGTGACTTGTGAATGATAACACTCTTAAGTTATTTGCATTGAGCAATCCATACAGGAGAGACGTAGTACTCTAAATCAATTTACAAAAAATTTAAAACTCATGAATCAGGTTATAAAATTTAGAATTTTGTTGGATCAAATAAATAAATACTTAAAGATAACAATAAAAATAATAATATTGATAAAATTTACTAATGTGATGATTGAAAAAATCGAAATAACCAGTAATTCTAAATACTGCTACTGTTATCAGAAATGAAAAGGGAAAAGGAGAAAAAGAAGAGACAAGAAAAGAAAAGAAAAGAAAAGAAAAAGGTGGAAAAAAGGAGGAAAAGAAAAAGGGTTTGGGATTGGGTTGAATTTAGAATGTAAGCCTAAACGCAAGAGCACTATTCCTTTAAAACGATGTTGTTTCAGTAGAACCCAATGCCACAAATGATGCTAAAGGGCATCGTTCAACATGGGATCCTTATTTGTTTCAAAACGACGCCTTTTGGGTTATCTTTTAACACGACCTTCTAGGGCTTCCTTCTTGGTAAGCTTCTTCTTTTTGTCCTCTTTTACAGTGTGCTAGAAAATGGCGACTGAAGGGAAAAACACAGAAGATGGGACGTGACAATTGAATATTGAAGAAGGAGAGCTAGAAAATTCTTGGTAAGCTGGCTAACCGAATAGTTAAAGATGAGGCGTCACGTGTTGAGAAAGAGAGAAAAGTTTTTGAGCGACGAACAGAGACAGCTTGAAGGAGGAAGCCATTCATGGAGAGAGAAAGAGGGACATGCGAAAAGGTATATTCGGATTCAACAGCTTCAGCCTGGCGATTTCATCTACGTGTCCACAAGCTCGGGATCGACGATGAAAAGTAAATTGTTTCCTCTCGGACAGTGGGATTTGGAGGAAAGTAAGTGGTTTTTATATGTAAGAATTTAATATTTAGTATATTATTCGTCAAAAAAATTTAATTTACTATAATTCTAAATCATCTACGGCCAAGTATTAAAGATAGTAAGGGAGATGAATTTCTAAAATTATAAGTTTTGACTTTTGGTAGCATTTCTTTACTTACAGGTAAGGAAATCATAGCTAATTATTGAAAATATAAAAGATTGAAAATGAAGGAACCCATTGGAGTCAAAACCGAATCTGATCAAGTTTACATATATACACACACACCTATCTATAAAAGCACGAGAGAATAAAACCTTTTCTGGGTAGTTTCCTACCAAGAAAAAAAAAAAAGACTATTTTCTAATATATTATAAAGCAAACGTGTTTTGAAAATAATGCTGAAACACTTGTTCATGTACTTTGATATTTTTTTGCATCATTGTCTCCATCAGTCTGTGTTTAGCTTTTTTGAAATGACAATAAAAATTTCTTTTCTTTTTTCCTCTTTGGGTTAAAAGTTAAAAAGAAGAACTTGTTTATATTGGAAATATTCAAAGGGATTTAGGAAGAAGATCTTGCAAACGCCAGGCAGGGTAAGTTAGGAGGAAAATTCGGGAAACCTTTTTAGTCAATAACTATGAAAAGGGCATTTATATTTATCTCATGTTTGCCAGCAGTTTTTAACTTTAATTTTTATAATTAAAAGAGTAAAATAAAAAATATTCTTAATAAAAACTAAAGTCAAAATATGATTTTATTATTTTTAAATACAAAAATTATTAAAATAATTTTGACTCTTAATCAAAATATTACACTTAAAATCTCCAAACTTATTTTCACCAAACACATAATTCTTACTTTTTAAAATAATAATATTTTTTACAATTATTTCTATTACAAAATGACCTTCTTATTTTTCTATGGATATCAGGAAGTTACTCAATCCCTAAATATTCTAACAATAATATATCACTTTGATAAAAGAAAATAGAAAAATTAGTACATAGTACCTTGACTCCATTGAAGGGAAGATTCGCCGTTATGCCTTCACATGATATCCAAGATAATATCGATGTTAGAGCTTCTGGTATGTCGGCGAGAGAAAAAGACAGCTAGAGAAGAAGAAAACCAGATTAAGATTTTTTTTTAGTGAAGGAGAAGAGGTATAAGTACCTCTTCCTCTAGGGCAGCAACAACCAAAATGCACCATTTAATGAAACGGTGCGTTTGGGCTCCCATATAGAAGCGGGCTAAGGAAAACTGAGTTAAACGCATCCCGTTTATGACAGGCTTGTTAACAGTTTATACTAAATGTCAAACAATAATTGATTAAAAATATTTTTAAAATCTACAATACATGTTATAGTTGACCCAAACATTTGCTTATATATAAAATCTACATTACTCCACATGTTCGGGGCAAGTAAATACCTTGTGAGCAAGATGGTTATAGGCGAAAGTCGCAAAAGAGAAAACAAAAAAAGGATATATACTCCTAAAACACTTACTTTTAAAAAAATTTGTATTGGCTCCAAGATAGTTTTTTTTTTTGTTTAAATACAACTAATATTTGTAAATTTTATTTAGATTCACCCCACTATTGATAACATATTTAATACCATTTAACGAATATCCACATAGCAGACAACATGACTACATAGACATCATAATTTTAAAAGAGAATAGCGTGTATGTTATGTGATTGTCACATTGATCATTTTTAAAAACATTATCGGCATGCATGTCATGTGTTTGCTTCGTTTTCCCCCATTTAATTTCTTTTCCCTTTCTTCTGCATTTTTTTCATCTTATTTCTTTACTTATATATAATTACTTTTAAAAATTATGATATTTATGATGCACATCTTCTACCATATAGACATATGCTATATTGTATTAAAAATGTCGTTGTTCTTTAATCTTAAAATGTATTCATTTCTTTTAAAAACTTTCAACATATATAAATTGGATTATTCGACTAAAAAGCACAACTGTGACTCGACCTTGAGCACCGAGTCCATGGAGATTGCCTATCCTAATGAAATCCTAGTGTCTTCGACCATGTTTCCTGTATCTTTTTCATAAGGCTCTGTTTTAATAAAAAGAAAATATGAAGAAGTACATGAAAAACTAGTCTTTTTATATCAAAAGGTAAAGTCTTCTCTAGCCAATAATGTTGCGTCATTTACAACGATTAAAAGCTCTATTAGTTTTTAAAAGCTTTTTTTCTTTAATAAAAACAAACAAATTCTTATAGTCTGTGAAAAGATAAAAAAAAATATAAAAATTTAGGATATTTCTTTTTACATTGTAGACTTCATTTAACTTTAGCTGTAAACTCTTCCGTATCATTTATAAGAATACCTTCAAAAGAACATAAT